GAGGAAGTCTCGTGGACTGTGTCAACATGAATATTGTATAAAAGCCAAACGGCTGCTGTACAACGAGATTAATCCATCCTCATCTTGTGAGATCGACCAATGAATCTCTTCTTCATTCACTTTCATGCGAACTGAATTTCCCCCTAACAATATTATATCAAGGGATTCATTGTATGGTATCATCTATAGGAATGTTAGTGTACATAGACTCAACATCAAAACTTACCATCAAATCCTCACTTTCTATCTCCTGATCTTCAACGAAGGCACAGAATTCATTAGAGTTCTATTCATAAGAACCACTGCTCCTCCTTTTTCTGCCTTCAACACCAGTTAGTCCTCATATAGTTTCCTTATGATATTTTTCATTTTCTTATTCCTGGGTGTTATTTTTATATGGCTATCACTACTAGTCTCTACTTGAAGCTGGTCGGTAAAACTTATGAATTCCACTAGTATTTCCTTACTGTTAACTCTATCTTGTGTTCTAACCTTTTGAGAGCATTTCCTCTCTGGTAACTTACAACAGTGTTTTTGAGAGGTTTACCACCTTCTCACAACTATCCTTTGCTCCCTAACGTCTCCCTTACATGTATTTTAATTAACCTTGGTCTTGCTTCTTATACCCAAATTCCTAAGCTTCTAATCATGTCTGCGTCTAACCCGTTGAACAACTCTACAATACAACCTGTTCGCCACTCTTTATAGTTCTTGAGAAATCTTCCGAGCTAAGAGTAATCGCCAACGTTTAAGGGAATCTGGCTTTCCTCATCAATAATTTTAATTCTATGCTTTCTTGGGTCCTGATATCACCTAAATCCTGGGATATGTTGTGAAGGACTCGCAAATTTGGTCTATCAATAATACAAAATCTATGAACATCCCTACGAGAAAAACATAATTTGAAAAAATGGATATGGTAAACTTGCCTGACCAGGCCTTTCTTGGTTTTAGTGTAAAGTGATTATTCTCGGAAACATTGGTATCCTTACCTACTACGTAGGTATGTAGAAAAACTGGGTCACAGCATGTGATTATTAATAGCTTTTACTCACCTTTTCAAACAAAATGAAACCCACTCCAACATCAATCTTTTAAGGGATTCTTCAAAACCCAGTTTTTCTACATAAACAATAGTCAATTTTTATCAAAAATTGCTCCAAAAATAAGTCTTTGCTCAAAAGTATATTGCTAGTTTATTTTGGAATAATAGTAGCGTAAATATAGTTAACACATTTTCTGGAAAGCCATCTGTGTTGTTACATAGTTATATTAGCTGGTCTTGTCTCATGTGCTGATATGTAAAAAGATAAAATCAGAAACTTTGATCAAAAAGGTATAAATAATCTGGTCACTAGATATTTTGAGTCCATAAAGTAAGATGAAAGATGGCTTCATATTCGATTCTGCCTCTCACTTGGTATATATTGATTTAAGCCAGACTTAGGATGACCAGATCTACACGGATATCTGTACATGAGCAAACAATAAAAAATACCAGGTGATTGACTATTTCAAAGTCAGATAAAATTATGGAATTGATCAAAAAAGTATAAGTAATCTGGTCGTGCTAACGAAACGCTTGTGAATGTAACAAATCAATGGTCCGATGTTGGAAATCATGAATACCATGGCAGATTATTGATGACTAAGTATGTCCCCAAAGGTCTCTCTGATGCTCCGATCAAGTTGCGAAAACGAGGCCAAACTAACGATATCTTTACTTCATATTGTAAGATAATAGGGCAGCATACAAAATTTGGGCCTTCATAGCAAATTTCTTTCAACCCACTCTTACGAATCTCATCATCGCCTTATTGCGTACTGGGATCCATAATACTAAGATAATTATCTCGGCTTATTTTCCCCTGACCAAAGTTTAACAATAGTTTGACCTCCTTTTCGGAACTTGGTCTTGTTACCAGAAGATGTATTTACCCAATTTCGTTTAAGGTGATGAAGGAATGGTATTAGAATTTTCCCATAAGGATATGAGTAGAGCTGATGTTTCCATTGAATTTCCCATAGCCTTGTTTTCCCCAAAGTTGCTATCATCTAGGGTGGACGGTAGTTTCGACCTCGCATCGGTATTATTAACACCCCAAGCGGGATTCGAATCTTGACAGTGCAGAATTTGTGCTTGACACGTTAACCACTCGGCCACATTGCCACTAGTGCCCTTGGGTTGCAGAGCAAATGTGAACCAAGACCAAAAATTAATAGACAGGCAGGTTAATCACATTAGATTTCTACGTGTATGCTCCTCTCAGAGTGATATTCCTAAATGTTGTATTATTGGTAAAGACCTGATTTTTTATGTATAACTAAGAGAGATTTAATAAAAGTATCCTAAAAAACATTTCAAGATTACATACTTTAATTAGCACCAAAACCAGACTTTGGGAATCATTGTTCCATGCTCTTATTTCAGCGGATTTTCTGAAGTTACAGTCAATGATTGCTACGTTATATTATATAGATTTTCCTCAGATAAGAAAGAGTAAAAATACAAAACTTAAGAATTTGGGAATTAGAATTATAGCAATAAGGAATAAACGGAAATCATTCACAGGAGAAGAGGAAATTAGAACGGATCACAAAATCGTAAACCTGTACAATATATCATTTGACAGTCCTGATGAGGAAGTTCTATCTAGAGGGCTTAATTATGCTTTGTCAAATAGAGTTTTATTAAAGAGATTTTGGTGGAAGGTATTAACTTTTCTAACCGATTAGTATAAGAAGCTAGAAGTGAGCTTGAGATACAAGTTGTTCCTGTGATTGGGCAGATATGATATTTAAAGCAAGTCATTCCTTTCTAAAATCACATTTACCACTGGAAGAGTCGATAAGCAAACATGTATTTTAGTTTATGAGTTGGTTTTATGGACTACCAGTAGATTGTATATATCAGGTGTATTCACCCTATTTCGTCTAAGATGAAAAGTTAAGTAAAGTAGTTAAATTTTTCCACAATGATATGAGTATATCCTACATTTCCATTGAATTAACATAGCCTTGCTTTCCAGAAGGTATTCTACTCCAGGGTGGGCTGCAATTCCGACTTCGCCTGGGCCTTATCAGCCTCTCAACGGAACTCGAATCATGGCAATGCAGTACATAATCTTGACACGCTAACCACTACGTCACACTACCACAAGTGTCCTTAGGCCACAGGGCAGATGTCAATATATGATCTACTGGAAGCCTCGAAAACCTACTTATTAACGAAAAAATAAGCAATGCAGTCGATTGCTATAGCAAATGCTATAATTAATCGACAATCCCATCACAGAATGCGATGTTAGAAAACGCCTGGCTTTCTTGAAATTCTCATCTATCCTGTGGTCCAAGAGCACTCGTGACAGCGTGACGTAGTGGTTAACGTGTCGAGATTACACTCTACACTGTCATGGTTAAAGTCCTGGGTGTGTTAGATATAGGTGAGGTTAAGCCTGCAGTCCAGCCTGCATAGGAATACCTTTTGGTAAGCAGGGCTAAGTGAAGTTCACTGGGATCGTGAGGCCTACTCATAGGATTGGGGTGGATATCGACTATCAGTCCTGATAGTCGACCTAGTGTGGATAAAGCTCTTATACAAGAGCTATCTGTTTGCCTGATTACTAAGCCTTCAAAAAATAATTTCAGTCGTCTGAGTTACACAATAAAACTCCACTTGCTTTTAGTCTTAAGTAGTCTAGCCTCGACCTCAACGTCATTTATGATATGAATGTTTCCTTCCTCATCATGTTTTCACAACTTTTTTTACAAGACCCTGGTCCACAAGAGGATTTTTCTGGTTCGGGCATGCAGAAACCCTGATTCCTGTTGTCACGGCCCTCGGTCTTTTTAACGGTTCAGTAATGCAGAGTCAAAGTGATGGTTACTGGGACAGCAAAAAGGAAGATTCGGAGCCTGACATCTATATGACGGCTCGTGGCCTTCGCCAACGGATGGAAGCTATCTCCAAACTAAGCACAAGAGACCGGACTGGCATGGAGTGTCATCGATGTGACGCTATGCCCGGTGGCGTCTTCCGGGCCGGATTAGTTTCACCCTTCTCCGGGAATTTGGCCTTCCATCTATACTTTTGTCCAATAGGCCGATCAGTAGATGCTCATGCAGGTGAGGCTAGTGGTACTCTTAAATTCCTCTTCCTACCTTTACACGTTATCTTGCTGTCTTTTCTCTCGGAGATTACCCTTTGCATTGTTTAGTTCTACTTTTGTATTGCAGGCTATGCGTTTCTAAATATATGAGGCTTATCAGGCGGAGTACTTTTATATTTTGAAGCGCAGGTGGCTATATTTTATACGAGTGCGTTAAATTCACACACTGGAGTATAGTTTCTTATTGCACGTGCACCAATCCTAAGAACATTTTTACAAGATATTTTGTTCACGAGAATTGTGAATCGGGAAAAGCTTCGTCTGGGGGTTTTCTCATGAACTGCTGCTATCTTTCATGCTGTGTTGCTAGTCAGCATTTATTTTTTCCATATATGCATTGTTCACTAATTTAAATAGGTTATTTTACCACTAGTAGCAAAGGTATTGAAATGGTTTTGCGCCTTTTATTATAATTTTCCACTAATATTCGCTAACAGGCCTTCCTCCAATCAATGAGCTGTCCAATTATCGAGTCCAACTATATCTGAATGAGAAACCCATCCACTGGCCATGTGACCGTCTTGAGTCCATTTTCGATTCAAATCCAGATGAGCTTCCGCCACGACTTGATCATCTACTAGAAGCGTATGCCTTTTGCCTTCCTGGGGTTTACAATCACTCGGAGACGTGTAGATATCCTGAAGAGGCTGTTCATGAAGACTTATGACGCAATCTTCATCCGACCAATGCAAATGAATTCAAGATCTGCCTTTTCCATTTTCCCTTACTTCGCTACAGTTCTGTTGCTTGATCTGCATAGCTTAAACCCCGGATTTATTGCTTGCGCTTCGTTTAAACCTTGATTTTTAGCAAAATTTCTTGAACCCATTTATATGCAGTTGGGGCATGCTAATGCTAATAGGACATTTAAAATTGGTTTTTCACTATAGCTTAATTTCAGTGACTATTTGATGCAGCTCAGTCTCTAATATCTAACTACATTCAAAGTCACGGCAATCGCCATATTGATACGAGTAGCTTTAACGTCGCAAAATCTGTCTATAATATGTGGACATACGAGGAAACTCGAAAGAACGAATTTTATTTGTTTTAATACTATAACCTTTGACTACTTCCTATCGACTCGTCTGTTTATACCTTGAACCCACTGCCTTTTTCTAAGCCTTGGATTAAAAGCATGCTATAATGCCGGACAAATAGTTGTCCAAGTCGTAAGTGGTGTCCGAAATTGCCACTTCAAGCACGTTTTGGAGCATTTTTTTGGTCGCCCTGTGCTATTTAGCCATTGCACCGGCGCTCGTGAATCTCATTCGTTAAGGTTATTGTTTAACAGTTTAATGCTGTTCGCCTTCCTTTTTAGTGGAGAGTTTCATAGTTTTGAGGTAATTTTGTGTGCATATTTTTTATGGTTAAGCAATGGAAACTTAAAATAAAGCTTAAGCTTAGAGCACAAGACTATGCCGGGATCAGTAGAATGAAATAAAGTTGCGCGTAGAGCTTTGCTATTTAATTAAATGTCCTGATATATCCTGTAATTAGCTGCAACGATGATCTATCTAGTATCGGAAAATGGCAAGGTTGCGAAAACGCATAACGAATTCAGGATCGTCACCTTTCTTTATGAGGAATCTTGGTATTCAACTAAGAAATAAAAAATTTGAAATATGAATTAAACCTAGCTAATAAAAACCAAAGGTTATGTATTTAATATGGCTTAAAATAAAATCTTCAGTATGGATTAGGAACAATAACATTTAGCTTCATAAATAATTGGTTTAGGATAATTGTTCTTCTCGGTGGAGAGAGAAATTTCACTTTAGACTGATAATCTTTATTTGTAGGTTTAAATATTGTTTTGATACAAGTTCACATTTATAAGGATACTGAATATCAGCAATCTCAGTGGGATGATGATCAACTGGTGGCATCAATGGGAGGGAGCAAATAGTCTACAAAAATAATCTTGTGACATATAGTTGCCACACGTGGCATTAATTTCTATCTTATTTTCAAAGTCGATATGATGTACACATTTCTTTTTGGCTAATATTTTACTTGAGTATTAAAGTAGTAAATACGAATAAAAACTGGGTTTCGATAAATCTCTTGAGATAACATTGTTAGGGGGACTTTCATTTCATATGAAAGGGAATGAAGAAGGAATTCGTTGGTCGATCTCACCAGATGAGGACGGATAAATCTCGCTATACTGCAGCCGTTAGGCTCTTATACGATATTCATGTTGACGCAGCCCACAAGACTTCCTCCATCGTTTTGGGTGAAAACGTGCTGAGATTTGGTCCATCATATGATGGACATCATCGGAGCTGGGTGTCATTCTTGTAAAAGTCTCACGTTAACACTAGGTCAAGAACATTATCCGGCTCTATCCTTCGCATTTAAGTATTGTTTCGAGACTACCAGTAAATCAGTAATATGCGATGCATTCACCGAACTCCTGTTAAGGTGATGAAGGACTGGTAGAAGAATTTTCCTACAATGATATGCGTAGATCTGACGTTTTCATTGAATTTCATATAGCCTTGCTTTCCCAAAAGCTAGGATGGACTGCAGTTTCAACCTCGCATCAGTCTTATCAACACCTCCAGCGGGAGTCGAACCGTGAAAATGTAGAATGGGAGCTTGACACGTTAACCACTCCCCACAT